AAAATGAGGAGCTGATATGAAGGGCTCAAGTAGAAAGCAAATGTTTTGAGAATGATGATGGCAACAAATGTACAAATGTGTCTGACACAATGGATGGGTGGGTGGATTGTGATAAGAGTTGTATGAGCCCCCAGTAAAATGATTTCAAAAGAAAGAGAAGAAAAAAAAGACTGGGACTTTTCTCTGCCCCTCCTCTCCCCTGCCTGGAGAACCCCCTGAGACAGATGCCATCACTGGGCTGCCAAGCAGGTGGCTGCACATTCCTCTCTCTGGGGAGGGTTAATTGGCTCCACACAATGAGGGGGTTGCTGTCCCTGTCACACAAGGACAAAGTGGGCCTGGCCATGAGGACGACAGTCCAGGCAGGCCATGGAAGAATGAGGCCACATCTCCCCTGATCTCTCCTTCTCTCTGTCCCCCGGGAACCCATCCAGCCCCTTCCTGTCCCTGGACAGCTAGACGAGAAACGGTGGGCCACCGGGTTTTCCTCAGAATGGACTCCTCAGGTAGCCCCTGCTCCTGTGTGGGAACTGACTGCTGTGGTGAACCCACAGGAAACCCAGCTGCACTGCAGTCCTGTGAGACACCTTGTGTTGGTGCGGAAAGAGCACTGATCTAAGAGTCAGTAAACCTGTGTTCGCCCAGGAGGGCTTGCCTTAGGACCCTGGGTGAGGCACGGCATTCTAAGCATTGCACTTCTAACCCCAAGGATGGCAGTTCAAAGCCTCCAATGACTCCACAGGAGACAGATAAGGCTTTCTGCCCCCATAAAGATTTACAGCATGGAAACTCTACAGGATCACGATGAGTCGGAATTGGTCTTGCTCATCTGTAAAATGGAGGAGTTGGGTATTCTGCGTTCCAGAGTTCAAGTAGAAACCCTGGTGGGTTGTGTGTTGGGATACTAAGAGCAAGGTCAGCCGTTCAAACCCACCAGCCACTCCCATGGAGAAAGGTGTGGCTTTCTGTTCCTGTCAAGATTTGGAACTCAGCTCTACCCTGTCCTATGAGTTGGGGTGGACTCAAAGGGAGTGAGTGATGCTTTATATGTATCCGCTTTCTGCACCAGCATTGCAGAGATGGAAAGGCTTGTAAGATAGCAGCCAGTCTAAGTGGACATGGTTTTCCATCCTCAATAGAGTTTTCCCTTAAAACAAACCCCTGGTCTTCCCCTGGTGAAACAGCGATGGAGGGGGAAAGGCAGGGCCATTTGCTGCCCACCAGTTCAGTGCCTGGCAATAAAGTGTGAGCTTTATAGAGCAAGCATGGACTCTTTATATAAACAGCCCCGTCCTAGCTGATAGAGAAGACATAAATCCCCTTTGATATAGAAGGAGGCTAAGAGGACTCCTGCTTCAAAGGCATACAACCAGGAAGCTGACGTTCTGGAGTGAAGATTGGAATCTGCCCACATGACCCAAGGTGTCTCCTCTCCCTCACGTTATCACCTTCGTGATTTTAGTCACAACATGCCCACGGGGAAGGGGTTATTAGCTATTGAAAATTGATAGAGGAACTTGAAAATTGGTTGTAGAAGAGGGCTTTAAAATTTTTGTGGGAAAATTCATTATTGTTTTATTCTATGATTCCACGAACTTTCTGAAGGCCTTTGGCACTTCACTGAAAAATTAAACTGAGGCCACCTGCAGGGGCGCTGGGCACGGAGAGCCAGGCCGGGGGCTCGGCCCCTGACTCATGCCACCCGGATCAGACTGCTGTGACCGGGGGTTTCCAGCGGCTGGGTTTTCCAGAAGTTGATTCCCGGGTCTTTATTCCTAGTCGGTGTTATTCTAGGAGCACCACGGGAAACCTCCCCATCATTGCAGCAATTTAGATGTGTAGTGGCTACATTGGAGGTGCACTGGCCAGGAGTCGAGGCCACCTCTCCCGCATGGATGACGAGAACCCACCCTCTTCTTTTAAAACTTGGGGTTGGCTGCCATCTGGTTGGCCCTTGCTCATGGCGACCCTGTGTGTTTGAGTCAAACTGAGCCAGAGTGATTGCTTGCCTATGAGCCTCATGGGGACAAGCTGCCAGGCCTTTCTTCAGCAGTGCTTTGGGGTAGATTCGATCCGCCAACCTTCTGGTTAGTGGCCGAGTGCACCCCCAGGGGCCTGGGGCCACTGTGGAAAGTTTCCCTGTGTGGCCAAATACATTTGACTTCTGGAGCCTCTGTTTGGGTTGCAGGTCGTTTGAGATCCAGGCCACATTCCCGAAGGAGTCTCTGCTCTCCGTCCTCATCTATGACCACGACATGATTGGGACAGATGACCTCATTGGAGAGACCAAGATCGACCTGGAAAACCGCTTCTACAGTAAACACCGAGCCATCTGCGGCTTGCAGAGTCAGTACGAGATGTGAGTGTGCTTTCCCATGAGAACATGTGCTGGGGGTCCATGGTTGACATCATCCCTCGGGGCTCTGGACACTGCGTCCCAATGGTCCGTGCTCTCCGAAGGCCAGGCAAGGCCCGCCGTTGACAGCTCAAATAGGTTCCGTGCCAGCAGCAGAGGCGGGCTGGGGAAACTTTGTTTGTTCTTGATTGTAAGTGAATAGTTTCTGACCAAACAGCTGGTTGGTTGCTCGTTCGCGCGTTTCACGAAAGAGGGAATTGGAAAGATTCAGAAAGGCACCACCACAGACTCACTGCCACGAGTCAACTCTGGCTCGTGGAGACCCTCTAGGACAGGGTAGAAGTGCCCCCTGTGGGTTTCTGAGGCTGTCACTCTTGACAGAGTAGAAAGCCGTCTTTCTCCCACAGGGCAGTCAGTGTGTTTGAACGACTGACGTTGCAGTTAGCAGCCCAAGGCTTAGCCCATGATACCACCAGGGCACCTTAACCACGGATTCCAAAAGCCCAAACCAAACTCACTGTCCTTGAGTTGATACCATCTCGTAGCAACCCTGCAGGGCAGGGTAGAACTTCCCCTGTGAGTTTCCGAGACTGTAGCTCTGTATGGGAGTAGAAAGCCCCTTCTTTCTCCCACTGAAGCAGCGAGTGGTTTTGAACTGCTGACCTTGCAGTTAGCAACCCACCTTGTAGCCACGAGACCACCAGGGCTCCTCCAATCACTGAATAGAGAGAGGCAAGGGTAACAAACTATTAAGACTCCTGCCTGTTACGTCAGTCTATATGATTCCTGGGTGAGGAAGCGGGAGAAAGTGGTAAGAAGCAGAGGAATTGTGAGGCTGCGTGAAGCCCTCCCCTTAGAGCAGCCAGTAGCTGGGTGGCTGTCCTGCTCCAGCCAGAACCAGAGCCAAACGCTGACTGCAAAGCATTTGGGGGTTGAGCCCTGCCTTGCACGGAAGCTGCGCCCCTGCAGAGCCGGTTGGCTAGACTAGACAGCTATCCAGAAGACAGGAAGAGGAACTCCGAACAAAATTAGAGCGGGTTGGGTCTGGTGGCGGCCCAGTCGATAGGAACTCAGAGCATCCTCTCCGTGAGTGGGCAGCCCTCACCCCACCTGTCCTCCCTCCACTTTCAGAGACGGCTACAACGCCTGGAGAGACACGTCCAAACCCACCGAGATCCTCACCAAGCTCTGCAAGGACAACAGGCTGGACGGGCCCTACTTTCTCCCCGGGAAGATACAGATAGGAAACCAGGTCTTTGCTGGAAAGACCTCCTTCACTGAGGAAGACACGGGTAACTCCCCACACAGCACCCTGCTGGTGTCCCTTTGGGAGTCTGGAGGCCAGCGGTGTTTGTGGCTAGGGGCCAGTGGGTCATCGAGTTAGAAAGGCAGTGCATGCTTGCTGTAGGGACTATGGACAAGGAAACCCCAAAGCAAACTCCTTGCCACCGAGTCTGTGCCGGCTCATAGCGACCCTGTGAAACAGGGTAGAACTGTCCCTGTGAGGCTCTGCAGTTGTAACTTCACAGGCATAGAAAGCCTCATCTTTCTCCCACGGAGTGGCTGGTGGTTTCAAACTGCTGTCCTTGAGGATCACAGCCCAACAAATAACCACTATGACACCAGGGCTCCCTTGGGGTAGGAGAGTAATAAAAACCACTTAGCAATGACCAGGCTGGAATATTCCTTACAGACTGTGTGTGTGATATGCTACATTGCTGCAGAATCCGAGCTGGGGCATTGATGCCGTTTGGTACCCTTCTCTTTGTTTCCATGGTTTTTGCTTTGCTCCTTGCAAAGATCACTGATCGTATCCCACTTCGTCACCCTGCCATTATGGAATGAAGCCACCCCCTATTTTTAGATACTTACAGTGGGTCCATTTCGGTCATGGTAATGAATGCCACCAGGAATTTCCGTATCCATGTTTCTGATGGAGGTGTCAGATTTTTGTGTCAGAGGTCGACAACAGCCTTAACATGAAGCTTATGTGGTGTAACTATAATTGCACAAGGCCCAATGGCCTCCATAAATGTCATCTCAATTTACTGCACTTCAACTTCAAGAAGCAGGTTTTCCATGTGAGCATCTTAGGGCGTGTCAGAAATAAGCCGTGTAGGATTCCATGTAGATTTAAGTTGAGAGGGGAAAAAATATGCCACCTTTGACTTTATTGGTGGGACTCAGCCATTTCGTAAAAACGTTTTCTTATGAATTAGGTGAAAGTTGAGAGAGCAGCTCATTGATTTCACATTCAGCAATTCATACACAATCCGTTTTCACTCATGCAGGGCAATCTGTCGAGTGGACCAGCTCTTCTCCCACGTCCTGCCCTGGCTGGGTCCAATCCTTCCCCTTTCTTAGCCCCCTCAACTTTGTCCTTGGGTCAGTGCTACGTCTTGCTCGTCTATCATTGATTATTCTAACAGGGGCATGGGTTTAGTCCCAGACCCGAAGGGTGGCTAAGGGCCATGGAGTTTGGGTCGCACCTGTCTCTATCCGACCATCAAGCCTGGTCTCCTTATGATCGGTACAGGACAATTTCCGTAAGGCCACTCTCTCAATTTGATGCATAAAGTTCCCTAGCTATGATGCAAAGATCCCTGTATAAGACAGGGGTAAGGTGTTTTGGCACAGCTATTTTGACCTGGTCACTTTCCACCCCCAAGAACCATCTGAAGGTTCTTTCATGCAGGCTCACTGATATTTACAGGGTACACCCTGGACATATGGACCAATTTATTTTAAGAAAATATACATTTTTTTTTGTGTCCACAACAGACTCTTCTAAGGCAGTTGAGCTCCTTGGCCAACATGACGTGCCTCACGAGCCCACATGCAAGAATCTTCCAATGGTTCTTGGGGTGAAAATGACACCACCAGAATAGCAGTGTCAACACATCTTATCCCCTCCCAACATTGAACCGAAATGACTTCATGCGAATCAGTTCTTAACCGACTGAGCTTTACCACAAAGCTTTCCTTGGCCGACGGCTTATTCCTTTGTTGGGTCTTACTGGTTGCAATTACTGTTGCTGTGTGATTTCCCTTTGTCCTATCCTTACTAGTGACAATCACTTTTATCTACATCACATCGGGCCGTTCTAAATCTTGTCAGAAAGAGTTTGTTCTTCCAGCAATGCCTGTCCTATTTTGTGTCTGCTTTCTACCTGACATTTTTCTAATAAATTCTATTTTTTAAAATCATGGTTGGTCCTTATTTCCTAGCATAGCCATGTGAGAAATTTTGTGAGATATAGAGAGACTGAAAGAATGTGAGAGTGAGAGGCTGGCAGACAGAATGAGGGAGGGACTGAAGGGGAGAGAGAGAGAGAGAGAGTGAGAGAGAGAGAGAGAGAACGAGCGAGCCTTTTTCTGGAATACTCCCTGCAAGGTGCAGTAAAAATAGCTTTGAAACCAAAATGGCAAGTCCAAATCCTCTGGTTAATAACAGATTGGCGAGCCTCTCCCAAGAGCGGGTGTTGGTTGGAGGGGGTCTCAGGCAATACTGAGATAAGACAAGAGACAGCCAAGGGACAGTATACACACACTTTGTGGCCAGTTCACCACCGAGCACAGGACCACCTCTGATGGCCCAGGCCCCCTGGTCCTCTGGCACTGGCAGCCAGTTTGGATCTCCAGGAAACATACCTTGTGCAATACCAAGAAACCAAGCTTGCCCTTTGTAGCCTGAGAAATCTGATTTCAGGGGTCCACAGTGGACCCAGAGCCCTGCTGATGTAGGGGGTGACTTGTTGGGCTGCTAATCGCCAGGTCAGCCGATTGAGACCACCTGGCACTCCACAAGAGATAGACGAGGGTTTCTATTCCTGTAAAGATGTACAGCCTTGCAAACTCGCAGAGGCAGTTCTACTCTGACCCATAGGGTTGCTATGAGTTGGGATAGACTCAGGAAGAGTGAGTGAGAAGTGGACCCATCTCATTTCTATCTCTTTCCCCTTCCCATAACTCTATGCCCTCTATAAAATCTTCTTCCTTTTCCTCTATGGCTGCCTCTCTCTTCTCCTGGCTCCTTGGAATATTTAAACGAGCCTTTTAGGGAGTCATCAAAAACACGTTGATCACCCATGACCGTCTTCTTGCGAGATTCGCCTAACGACTCTTCACTTTTCCCTCCTCCGTGCAGATGACACTGTGGAGTCCCATGAGCACTTGGCTCTGAAGGTTCTACACTCATGGGAGGAGATTTCAGAGGTTGGGTGTAGACTTGTCCCTGAGCACATTGAAACTCGGCCACTGTACCACAAGAATAAGCCAGGGATGGAGCAGGTAGGTATCAGGCAAGATGGTCTGACATCATGAAGTGTGTTCAACCCACAGAATGCCACTTTTCTCCTCAAAATCAATCTTGTGTGCCTCACAACAATGCTTCTCAAACAAGAGTGATTCTGCCACCCACTCCCCAGGACCATGGTGCACAATCTAGAGACATTTTGGTTGTCACAACTGGTAGCAGGGTGCTGCTAGCATCCAATGGGTAAAGGCAAAACATCTTACAATTCAGGATAGCCTCCACACCACAAAGAAAAACCCAGCCTAAAATGTAAAAAATGCCAAGGGTGAGAAAGGTTGCCTGAGTGATAGTGTTGGACATAGTGAGTTTTTTATTTTGTTTTTGCTCTCCTTTTTATAATTGAAGTGATCCAACGCTTTTGGAATCATTCTGGCTTTTGAGAACATTCCATACTCGTGATATATGCCCAAGACCTTGTCTAAAAGTGACTGTAACCACACAGAAGAACTTCCCAGGGAATGGTCGGTGATGACTTGCCCGGAGGACCTGCTAAGAAAAGGCTGTGTGGGAAATATGACCAGAGAGCTCAATTAGGGGGTCAAAAGAGAAAAGAAGATTAACTTTAGTAAGAACTTTTTATCTACTAGGTCCTGCACATAAATTATTTAGTCTAGTTAGGATGACCATATAATGTTTAATCCAGCCTGGGCCCATTTGGGGAATAAAAGAGCATTTCTAATAATTCAATTGGTACGAGGGGCAGATACGTGTTCTCCTACACAAATATGTATGTGAAGTTCACCCTATTCTCATTCCTGAGTACAACCTTTGTGTAGAGTCATCATGATCATCACATTTAAGGTAAAGAAATTGAGGTTCAGGGAAGTAGTAGAGTTGGATTTCATCAGGGCAATTTGAGTCCATTGCTCACACTCTGTCTGCAAACTCAAGTGAGTCCCCGATCTGCATTTACTCTCTAACTTGGACAAAGCACACAGACTACTCTATGTGGATGGGGCAGGAACACCAAGTTTGCAAACTCAGCAGTATTGGGTGTTATTGGTGGTTGTGTGGTAGGATCAATTCTGACTCACGGCAACCCCATGTGACAGAGTAGAATCTCCCCATAGGGGTTTCTGGACTGTGATCTTTACAGATAGAGATCACCAGATCTTTCTTCCACAGAGGGCTCAACCCACCCACCTTTTAGTTAGTAATTGAGAGCTTAACTGGTTGTGCCACCAGGGATCCTTAGTGTTGGGTGTAGCCCAAATGGGAGACTGGGTAGAAGCACCATGAATGGGTAAATCATTATCAGATGTAAACACTTACAATTGCTTGCTGGAGTTCACTACCAGATGCTTGAAATCTTGTGTTACTGAGACATTTCATTTTAGCCTGTGAGATATGACTTCTGAATTAAGGGTGAATGGTACCGATCTTTAGAAAGCCAAACACCCTAGGACTATAATCCTCCACTGACTTGGTTATTCTTCTAAGGGTAAATGTTAGAAAGCAAATCACCCTAGAACTGTAAGCCTCCTTTAAGTTGGTTATTCTTTTCTCAAATGCTAAGCCCTTGCCTACATCGTTTCCTCCCTTGCAAAGTCTTCTTTTGTAACCACATCTCCCTCCTCTCGCCCAAATCCTACATATCCTTTATGATGTAGGATTTAAGTCCACTTCCTGCACATTACTGTCTCCCTCACCATCCAGCCCTTGTGAATCGCTCACCCTCTTGCCAGAGCTGCCAAGAGACCTTGGGCTATCTACAGCATAGCTGATCTCTCCACATGGGGTTTTGAATTCCTTGAAGTATGGAGTTCAAAGCAGGGGTCCTCAAACTATGGCCCGCAGGTCACATGTGGCCCGCCAAGGACATTTATCTGGCCCGCCAAGTGTTTTTCCCCGTTTTTTTTTACTTCAAAATAAGATACGTGCAGCGTGCATAGGAATTTGTTCATAGTTTTTTTTTTAAAAAAAACTATAGTCCGGCCCTCCAACGGGTCTGAGGGAGAGTGAACTGGCCCCCTGTTTAAAAAGTTTGAGGACCCCTGGTTCAAAGCAATAAACTCCATTGGTGAAATGCCCGATGCTGCCACTAGTCACCCACAGGACTTCAAACAACATTGATCTCCTGGTACTTCATTTTCTATGTGAAAAACCGAAACATGGCTGTGGTGTGTATTAAAGGAGCTCATGGATGTGAAGCAACATTTGAAACAATCACATGGACAGCAAAGCCAGCAGGCTAGGTTTAAGTCCAGACAGTGCTACATATTGGGTGTATAATCATGGGCATGTGTTAGTCTGCGTAGACTAGAGAAACAAATTCATAAATGTGCACATGTATATAAGAAAACGCTTTATATACAAGAGCAATTGAACATTGAGAAAACATCCCTGCCCAGTCTAAATCAAGTCCATAAGTCCGATATTAGCCCATATGTCCAATACCAATCTATAAAGTCCTCTTCAGGCTCACGAAACACATGCGATGACACCAAACACAGGAAGATCACAGGCCAGAGGGTTGGAAATCTTCTGGATCCGGTGGAGTTGTAAGCATCTCAGCGCTGGCAGGGGTCTCTATGTGGCTTCTCCAGTTCCCAGGCGTAGCGCCATGTGTCTTTTCAGCATCTCCAAGGGAGTGAGGAGAGAGTGTGTGTCTCCCACCTCCAAGGAGGAAATACAGGAATTCCCAAAATTCCCAGAAGGCCAGGCCCGCACAAAGGCCTCATTGGTTATATCTTGATTGACAGGCCAGATCTCCACCCCTTCACTCATAATACTCTCAAATTGACACCAAATTATGTAACTACCACCAGCATGATGATTGCTCCTCTGCTAGATAGGAATAATGGCATCTCCCCAGTGGAAATATGGCACACGTTAACAAGATAATGTGTGTCAGGTGCACAGCATTGTAGCTATCACATAGTAGGATGCTCATTCAGAGCTTGCTTGCCCTCTGTATGCCCTTAATTCATACCATGACTATTCCTAATAAGAATTTAAGTTCTGCTCCTTCAACAGACATAATGTACATTTATAAAGCTACCAAGCTGTACCTGCGGCCTATTTGTAGTCAAGGAATCTTTTAAAGCCAGGAATGGTCCATTGTCCTTAGTTTCCCAATCACCTTCTTCCAAATCTAAGAGAGGTCTTCTTTTCTTCCCAAGGGCCGCTTGCAGATGTGGGTGGATATGTTTCCCAAGGATATGACTCAGCCTGGACCTCCTGTTGATATTGCACCAAGGAAACCCAAAGGGTAAGCCTATTGGACCCAGTTTTAAAGGACCAGACATGGTAGCCCACAAAAAAGTCATGATATCTGACTGGTTCAATTAATCCTTTGGTATTTGATCATAGCTCTCATTTCTACCTGGTCAGTTACAGCAAGAGGTGGGAAATAGCCACAGGGGGAGTAGGTGATTAAAAATGGTGGCCTTTGTCTGATGGTAAGGGATTCTGAGCTTCAAATTACTCATCTGAAAAAAATGCTTGTTGGTAGAAGGAAGATCAGTGCAGAATAATCTGTATCCTTCATCTCCAGTTGGGACATTTAGTTCTGATTAAACCAAGACCTTGAGTGTTGATAGTTCTAAACTTATAAAACTTGAGGGAAGCCATCGTAATACCAGAACCACAATGATACCAGTTCGTTCAGCATTTATACTGTCTTCAATTTAATACTGCCTCCTCTGACCCCAGATATGAATTGAGGGTGACCATCTGGAACACTGAAGATGTCATTTTAGAGGATGAGAATTTCTTCACAGGACAAAAGTCAAGTGATATTTATGTTAAAGGGTAAGCTCATTGACAACTCCATCCTCCTTTTCCTTCCCCTCCTTACCTCTTTATCCTACTCAAATGTATTCTTCGTGGAAAATTGTAGAAAGGGTTTGGGGCACAGTGTCAGACCTCCTCAAATTTCACAAAGGGGAAGGAGAATCAAGCTACATATCAGCCCAAGGCCAATTCCTATGCAGCAGTGGTCAGACATGCCTCCACATCCCAGCCTTCTTAGCAGTTCTGACACTAGCCATCCCTCCTCTAGCACTGTCTTCATCTCTGCTGGGTTTGATAATTCATTGCAATGGCCAGACAGAACTCCCAGGCAAGACTCACAATTATGGGATTTACTAATGAAGTTAACCGGTTACCATTCAGGAACAGAAATGCTCAGGAAACAGTTCTTCCAGTCAAGACAGCATCCTCTCAGCTGTGCCTGGAGGCTGCCTCTCTCTAGCACTTGGCCTCTCAGTCCCAGGGCTCTTTGACCTCTTGTCTGCTTGAGTAATGTTACAGAGCTCTTGTAACACTGCTGATAAATGCCCAGAGGGCACACTACTCCACCATAAACCTCAGGCTGAAGACACTCAGCTCTAGTTCTATAGGGCAGCAAACGTAGCTCCCCAATTAAGTGCCTGGAGGCACCCAACTCTACAAGCAAACCTCCTCCCTGATGGCGCTCAGTGTCACCTGCTCCATGGGCCGGGAGCTGCCTCATGCTGGGGCTCTTGGTTTTGCTGCTGCAGCTGCTCCTCCACCACTCTTCTTTTGCTTCTCTGGTTGCACAGCTTTCTGTCCCTGGAACAAGGGACTTCAATGCCCAGGGATCTTGAGGTCCCAAGGGCATTCTCCATTCCTGACTCTTCTCTCCATGGTAGCAAGAACTCCCTCCCTGCTTCTGAGATGACTCACTTTGAACCCAGCAAGATAGTAAAATTCACCAATACCCACATGAATGTAATCAACCTTGTTAACCATCCCTCACAACTGAATCCTATAATTCTATCAGGATGTCTGCCCGCTTTCTCTTATCCAGACCCCTCAGGACAAAGTTGGCTGGTCAAAGTTACAGAGACTATGTCTAGAAGAGCCACATCAAGTAACTCATTGAACCACAAAGGCCTCCTACCCCAAACTCCACAAAAGGAGGCTCTCTTACTCAATTTATTAGATACAGTCCTTTTTCGTGTCAAATAGTTCTCTTATTTCGTCAGTTTGCAAAGAATGATGATGTCAGGAACATATTTTCCTTGCGAGCATCTGAGTGTTTCCTCTAATTCAATGAAATGTTGACTACCTAAACTTTCTGAGAACTTTCAAAATTCCCCGATCATTGATATCTGAAAAGACTAGCAGAGTATTCTTAATAAAAGGTTACGTTTTTGCAATGTGCTAAAGCATAAATGAAAGTTTAGACCTTTTCATTGACTAGTCTACTGGTTTAAAAAGATGGCCATCTGGAACGTAGGGAACTAAGCGTTTTATCTCCCACTGGGGCCGAGACACAGAATGCTTTGCAGGCTTCCTGTTCGCCTCTGGTCATTGAGAACGACGAGGTGGAAGGAAACTCGAAGGAAAGTGAGTTCAGAGGCTTCTTTTGGCGTCACTCCCAGGGCAGTGGGCAATCTCAGCCTAACACTTGGAACAGGCGTGCTCCCAGCGTGAGAGGAAATGCCTCCGATGACACTTCCATCGTCTACGGGGAGAACAGGATGGCGTGGAAGGGTCCTCAGTGGCCGTTGGATGGAAATGTCCTTTGCATTTCCTGAGTGCTCCCTCTTTCCAGGGGCTTCAAGTCCACCCAGGAATAATTGGAGACGCTTTCCCTTCTTGGCTTGGAATGAGAACCTTACTTCTATTCCCGGCCCTTTAATTTCCGATTTTCCATTTATAGATTCAGTGGAAGCTTTCACTCGAGACGAGGAACATTGTAATTTAGAGACTGTGAGTCGTGACAATATGGAAATGACCTAAATCAATCTTGGTCATACCAAAGCCCAAATAACGTACTCTGAGTGTTTGGGTTTCTCTATCGTCATTCAGGTGGATAAAGGGCTTGGAAGACGACAAGCAGGAGACAGACGTGCATTACAACTCCCTGACCGGAGAGGGCAACTTCAACTGGCGCTTCCTGTTTCCCTTTAAGTATCTCCCAGCTGAGAAACAAATGGTCATTACCAAGAGGGAGAACATCTTTTCCTTAGAGAAGATGGAGTGCAAGACTCCAGCTGTGCTGGTGCTCCAGGTTTGGGATTTTGAGAGGCTGTCCTCAGACGACTTTCTGGGTAAGCCAGGGTGAAGGAGTGAGTGGTTGGGTGGATGAGTGGATAAATGGGTGGGATGGGTGAGTGAGTGGTTTGGTGAGTGAATGATAGGTAGGTGAGTGGGTGAGTGAGAGAGAGAGAGAAGGGGAAGGTGAGCAATGGATTCTCAGACTTCTTCCATAGCTCTTCTGGTCATCTCTTCACAGGAACCCTGGAAATGAACCTGAATAGTTTCCCTCGAGCAGCCAAGTCTGCCAAAGCCTGCGAGCTCAGCAAGTTCGAAAACACAAGTGAGGAAAACAAGATCTCCATCTTCCAGCAAAAGCGTGTGCGGGGTTGGTGGCCTTTTGCCAAAAGCAAAGAGCTCACAGTGAGTGGCAGGCCGGAGGGGCTGGGAGCGGGCAGCCAGGGAACCATGTGCCCTTTCAGAGAGCTGTGTGGTGAGTGTCAAGCCCTGGAAGTGACACAGAGCATTGACGGCAAAGGTTCTGCTGGGAAGCACACATTTTGAAAATGTTATCAATGCCTTAAGCGTTCCATTTTCCTGCATACTTGATTTAATAGCTCTCTGCTGGGGTGTTTTTATTTTTGTTTTCTCTTTTTTCCTCTGGTCTTAAACTTAAGCCCTTAGCATTAATTTTTTTCTTCAACCTCTTTTGGAATTTTGCACAAGGTCCTGACAGATGGGTAATTTCAGTGTGACACTGTATTAGTCTGGGTACTTTGGAGAAACAAATCCACGGCGACTCACGTATAAGAGAGAGTTTTATGTAAAGAAAAGGTGCATCATGAAAACATCCCAACCCAATGCTGCCCAAGCCCACAAGTCCAACATTAACCCATTAACCCAACACCAGTCCACAAAGTCCTCCACCTCACAAAACAGAGGCAATGATGCCGACTGCAGGAGGAAAGCTGAGTCCATGAACGTGTAAGCATCCCAGCCCTGGCAGGGGTCTCCACAAGGCTGCTCCAGCACCCAGGGCTGCATCGGGATAGATCCATGCGGCTTCTCCTTGTAGGAAATCCATCTTGCAAACTGAAGCAGGGAACTGCTAAGGCAGCTGCACCCGATGCAACCATCACAAAACAAGAGACCCGAGAACTCGAAAGGCCGAGGCTCACCACCCATTTATCCCTCCGCCTTTCAACCAGCACCACATGTGATTATTGGCCAGGCTGGCACAATTAACTAACTCAGACACCCTCATACCCTTCACTCTCAACATGACTCCATTTAAATATTGATCCGTCTTTTTAAAGCTGCCTGGAGAGGAAATCAGCAGGAAGAGCCATTTACTCTCTCCTTCCATTGTCCACGTGGTCCAGCCAGTGTGGCCGGTGGGTGCTGTAAGAACACCTGCCTTTTCACAAACACTAGGAAGACAGTCTCTTCAGCGCTTTGCTTTATTGTTCCCACTGCCTGCCCCCAACAATCTCAGGGGTTGGTGAAATTGACAGAGACCAGAACTGCCCCTCTGCACGGTTTTCTCTGCCGCTGACCCCCGAGCCCGGTTCGACTCTGACACGCTGGGGTTGTCATGAGGAGGAATCAACTCTACAGCCACGGGTTGGTCTGTTTTGTTGTAAATGTTACTTTAGAAGCCAGAGAGCCTGGCCTTGAAGAAGTGGGATAAAGGACAGGTAGCCATGGATGGTGGGAGCATCAGAGACTGCAGACAGGTTGGGGGGTGGAGGGTGGGGGTGAAGGGCCAGTTAGGTGGGAGCAAACTATTTGCCGAGACTGGACAGAGACCAATAGAAGCATTTGTGTGCATGACCTGAAGCCAGAATTGGAGTGATTTGCACAACCTCCCCCTCCTCTCTCTCCACAGGGAGGGCACCAGGCCCTGCATCGCCCAAGCCTGGAGTCCTTTTATCTAATTGCTTTGTAATGGCTGGGCCTGAGGGGAGGCCCTTAAAGGGGCATTAACTGTCTAGCTTGATTGGCTCTGTGCAGTCTCTCTGCCCTGTGGCTTTGATGAGTCCACGAGAGTCCCCTCTGGTCTGGCAGAGTCGCTGGGGCCACATGGTCTCCAGCACTCTGTCCTCATCAGACAGGATCCCTCTTCATGAGTGTGCGCGTCTTTCGACTGATTGAGGATCGCACCCAGGGCTTGTGGACATCAAGGGTGTCATGTTTGGGTGGAAGGCTGTCTGAGCGTTCTCAGGAGTGTGGCGATTTTAGGTGATGAGTGTGAAGGAGGACCGGACGGCACGTCTCTTTGCTTTTTGTTTTATTTTCACCTCTCCCATCATCATTCTTCAGCAAAGGGGGCAGTTTGAACCCACCAGCCACTCCGAGAGACGAAAGACCAGGCACAGATATAACCGAAGGACCCCTATGGGCAGTTCTACCCTAGCCTACAGGATCTGTAGGCATTGGAATCCACTGAGGCACACAAGGACACCAGTTCTACCTGGAGCACTGGTAGACAAGGACACCAGTTCTACCTGGAGCACACCTGGGGCTTCCATGAGTCAGAGCCAACTTGACGGCAAGCATGGCCCAGGGCAGGCGTTTCACAGAGGCTCAGCCGGGGTTCAAAGCCAGCACTAGTGGGACCGGCTATGCACCCTTGAACGACATACTCTGCTTCCCTGAACCTCAGGTCCCTTACCTGTGAACTAGAGAGAGTAAATGCACGTAGCCCCTGGAGTCTGTGTACCAAGCAGATGCCCCCACAGTAATGAGGTGAGTGATGGGGCACTGCTGTGGTGCCCGGCCACTCCCTGGAGCCCCTCCGGTCTCAGAGCCTCGGTCTCCACATCTGTGAGCTGGGCGGCTTGTGCTTGGGGCCACCATGGTGCCATTTTGCAGCGTTCCCTCATCCCACCTCCGGCCGGACTGGTCTCTGACCTCTGAAGCCAGCAGTCTGCCTGCACATCACTGCCTCTCCTGCTAGACCCTCGCAGGCCGGAAGGAGTTGGTCTACAGAACTGACGCCCGCCAGGCTCATTTGTAAAGGTCTTATTTGTACAACCAAGCATGTCATGTAGACGTTTGGATCACACCGCTTCCAGCCAGAAGGGTGGTCTCTGCAAGTATGTGATAAACAACTCCAGGGGAATTGCCTGCAGGTACCCTTGGGAAGGGAAAGGGAATTCTAATTGAATGTGTCTTGGGGAAACGCGTTTAATGTGCCGTATCCCAATTAATCATACTCCTGAGAGCAATCCTCAGGGAAAATCTCTCCTCAGGGATCTATAAACCAGAAGCATCCTTTTACTGGTTAGTCATTCACATCGACAGTTTGCTAGCCAGGTAAGTCCCGGCGTCGTCAGCAACCAAATCGAAAAAGGGAGTTTCATGTGCCTCCAGCTTAGTGTGAGAAGCAGTGATCAGTTTCTGCTGGGATCACTCACTTAAACCTAGTCGTCGTCTGAGTCCACACTCTGCCATCGAGTCGGTGCTGACTCATAGCGACCCTGCAAGACAAAGTAGACCTGGCTTTCCTGTCCTGTGATCTTTACAAGAGTAGAAAGCCTTCTCTTTCTCCTGTGGAGTTGGCTGCTGGGTTCTAACTGCTGACCTTTTGGTTAGCATGCCCGACACATGACCACTACGCCATCTGATGTTAGTCTAAGTCATGGATGGCAAATTCAGTGGGTTTCAGGTGAGGCTGTTAACCACAAGGTCAGCAATTCAAACCCAGAAGCTGCTCTGGGGATGATCTTAATAGATTAACTCAAAAGATGATCACAAGAGCTTATTATAAAAAAATTTTTAATGTGGAAAACCACATTGGTGAGAGGAAAAGGCTAGAAAACGTGTGCTGAGGAATTTGCTTCAACCCTGGGCTTCCACTCTGCCTTCCAGGTGTCCTGAGTGTCAATTCTGGTCCCGGGGCATGAGGTAGTCAGTCCCGTGCTTCTGACCCTGAGGTATGGCAGCTCCACTCCCATCCCCAAGGCTGACACAGCAGCCCACACTCAAAACTCGCTCAATGAAGGTCGGACCTTTGTAGACATAGGGGGACTTAGAAACTCCACCTCGTGTAATGAAGAAAGCCCTGCCTGTCGAGCTCTGTCCAGCAGTTCTGCTGGTCTCTGAGCCGCTCCAAGGATGATCATATTCGGTTCTGGGAAGACATCAGACGTTGCTTCTTGGCCTGTTTCTGCCTGTAGCATTCCAAGAGGCAGACAGCGGTCTTTCCTTTCGTCCTTTCTCTGTCCCCTTCGAGCTAAGCGGACAGGTTATCTGCTGTGGTAGCTGGTTAGAGCCATCAGTCTCCGGTGTTCTCTCTTTAAGAAAAGATTGTGACACCATGTCCTTGGTGCAAGTTCTACCTCGTGTGTTCTTAGTTTGTACAACAGAATTTTCTAAATGGTTAAGTTTTGTTTCTGTCCTGCACAGTTCATTTTTGAATCTGGCTTTTCCGTCTCTAATTTCACTCTAAGCAGCAAGAAGAAACGACTCAGCCCCTTTAAGAACCTGCTTAGAAATCTCCTCAGCCTGCTATCCAAGTTCATCGTTTATAAGTTCTACCTTCCTACAAACCTTTGAACATAACCCAGACAAGTTCTTTGCCACTGCATAAAAAGTACTGCCCTTTCTCCACTGTTTAGTCACTTGGTCAGCATTTTCTTTTAAAGCCTCAACAGAAGTAATTTAATGTCTACATTTCTAGCAACATAGACCAAGAGGCGGTCTGGTCTTTCTAACCTCATAGGGGACACTGGGTAGTTGAAAATCAGGAAAGGTATATGCCAGTGTGTGATGCTTTCCACCATACTTATTCAATCTGAACGCTCAGTGAGTAATCTGAAATGCTGGACTGCATGGAGGCGGCGGCACCGGGATTAGAGGACAATTCATTGCCAACTTCAGTAGGCAGACAACACAACCTTGAGAAACTTGAAGCACAGACTGATGATGGTCAAAGCCTACAATCCTCATTATGGATCCCACCTCAACATTAAAAACACAAACTCCCACACTGGACCCATCAATGACAGGGTTATAAATGGAGAAAAGAGTGGAGTCATCCAGGATCTTATTATACTTAGCTCTATAGTTAATGTTCTTGGAAGCAGCAATCAAGAAATCAAATAACATCTTCTATTGGAAAGATCTGTGAAAGGCCTCTTCAAAGTGTTAAAAAGCAAAAATGTCACTTTGAGGGCTTAGGTGTACTTGACCTAAGCATGGTATTTTTAATTATCTCATATGCACGCAAAAGCTGGGTAATGAGTCAGAAACGCTGAAGAAGAATTGAGGCCTTTGAATTGTGGTGTCCATGAAGAATACTGAGTATGTCAGGACTGAATAACTACATCTGTCTTGGAAGAAGTAGGGCCGGATGCTCCCTAGGATAGAGGCTGGTGAGCCGTCATCTCGTGGACTTTGGTCATGGCACCAGGAGGGACTTGTCAGTGAAGAAGGGCATCCTCCTTGGGAAAGAGTTCATGAAAAAGGCGAAGTCGTTCAGTGAGATGGAAGGACACATGGGCAACAATGGGCCAGACACAGGAAAGATGGTGGGGCTGGTGCAGGACCAGCAGTGCTTTGTTTTGTTGCACACGGGGGCTCTGAGTGAGAACGGACGAGTCTGAGCCAGGTCCTGGTGTCACATAGACAAGTCCGAGCATCCCAAGAATAAGCTCGGTGTGTTGTGCACAATTCTGAATTTTGAATTAGTTTCTTCATCTAGCTCCTCAGAATTCCTAGATGTAGAGGATGACTAATCAGGTCGTTTGTGTATACAAAAGTGCCTTTTCTAAAAGATTTGATCAGCAGGCATTCCCACCATGAATGAGTGAGTGCCTCATCTCCCACCAGGGAGGTTTATTCTTTGCGCAGAACCAATGTCCTGTGCTGACCTGCCGTTTCTTCCCATCCCTCTCGGAGGAGACCCTGGATCCATGGGATACCCCCTCCAGGCCCCCCCACCCCCGCCAATGTTTTCAGTATGGGCAGGAGCTATTTCCCATTAAACTCTGTGTGTGTTCATGACATAGCACTGAAGGATCGCCCAGTGCCACCTAGCTGACTCCAATTCATAGCAAACTTAGATAGGGTGTTCAAGACTGTAAATCTTTACGGGAGCAGGAAGCCTCATCTTTCTTCTGCAACGCAGTTGGGGGGATTGAACCACCAACGTTGCAGTTAGCAGCCCAATGTTTACCCCACACCACATAACTATTATATTTTGCAATTGGAATAAGCCATTATTATTGCTTTAGAAGGTATGTCTATTCATTTCACTCGGCAGCCTCCCCAGCCAGCCACTAGTCAAGTCTGAAGCCATAAATGGTATATGCAGTGCAACCAATTCAGAGTGGGGTTTAGTACAAAAGCAAATGTATGTAGCAACAAAACATTAGCCGATTCAACATCATTTACTGACATAATCCAGCGACATTGATGGCATTCATCACATTGTGCAGCTGTTAGCCTTTCTGTTACGTTCTTATTAACAGATATTTAGTCCCCCCTCATAAAATGACTCCCCCTTTCCCTTCCCTCCCACTTACCAAAAAACCCCTGGTCTCTTATACAGCTGCTTATTACATCTAAGTGGGGTCATATAGTATCTGCCCTTTCCTGATGGGCTGTTTTCCCTCCACATAATAATCCACGACCTTTCCTTACCGCTTTGCTCCACCCACGGGTGTCACTGAATGAATAGACTGCCTCTGAAACTGTCAACTCGCCCCCACCCGCTGCCCCAGCTATGATTTAAAACTACATTTGCAGGACAGTATGAGTTTAAAATCTCTGCTTGGTGCTAGGATGAATTCTGATGACTGAAAGGGGATGTAAGGAGCCCCATGGGGAGAAGGATGGGGTGAGGAACCAGCTGTGTCAGACCCTCAGTAAGGACCTTCCTCCTGCCACCCCGGGGACCACTCAGTCCCAGCCCTTCATGAGACTCACGGATGAGGCCTGTCCTGGGCAGAATACTCTCATATGCCTTCCTCCCCATTCCTCGCGTTATGTGCCCTGGTGGGACTCTGGATCTATGGGTGTTTCTGGTAAGGGCAGGAGATGCATGCCTTTAAACTCCACGTTGCCATTCATAACATAGGGCTGAGGGAGAATCATTCAACATTTTCTGAGGGGCCCTATACTTTCCAGACAGCGGGCATCATACTGTAAAGGAGCGAGCTGTCAGACGTTTGTGGAAAGACAAAATTCACACAACTTCATGTATTCCTCAAAGCAACCTTAGGTGGCTCATGCTTTAAATACTCCCATGACAGTCAGAAGTAAAGAGGGCAGGTAACTAACCCAGGGTCGCATGCCTAGTAATTAAATAAATCTTAGGACCTGGCTTTAAGTGCAGACTAGTCTACACCAAATCCTCTCAATGCCTGTACTGGGTTGCCTGGTGGTGTAGTGCTTATGCACTGGGCTGCAATCTGCAAGGTTAACAGTTCAAAACCACTAGCCCCTTTGCAGAAGAATGACTGGCCTTCTGCTCCTATAAAGATTTACAGGCTCAGAAACTCGAGGGGCTGTTCTACTCTGTCCTAGAGTGTCACTAAGGGTCAAACTAGAGTTAGTGAGTTTGCTTTTTTATTTGGTCCTGGGCTGGGCTTGCTATCATATCTTATTCCACCAGCCCCTGGGTGGAGATCGAAGGCCATGCTGATTGACACCAGAGCCATCAAAAGTGCAGACTCAGTGTCATTGAGTCGATGCCGACTCATAGCAATGTTGCAGGGCAGAGTGGAACCGCCCTGGCATGTTTCTGGGGTTCTAAATCTTGACAGGAGCATAAAACCTCATCTTTCTCCCGCCAAGCAGCTGGTGTGTTCAAGCTCCTGAGCTTCAGGCAATTCATAACCCACGATGCTACGAGGGCTCCTTGCCACAGCAACATTAGACAGCCCCTCTTAAGCATTTCAGAAAAGGTGCATTTATTCCCTGCTAAATCTTCCAGAAAAGGGGTCATGTAAGGACATATAGTAGTAAAGGAATAACATTTGGTGGCAGAGGACTTAGGTATGGATCCTGGTTTTATAACACAAATTAGTTGATATCACCAACCCTTGGATTCCTAGCTGTAAAATAGGAGTGGAAAGACTGCCTCCTTTCAGGGTTGTCAGAAGGTTTGAATGCAACAATGTATATAGTTAGTCCCCGAGATACGGCAGGATCCCATTCCTTGGGCTCCATTGTAACTTGTTTCTGACATAAGGCGAGCATCTCTTTTGTTTGTTTGCTTCCGTAACCTGCTACAGAGCAGTGTTTTGAACAGAAAATCATCATGTTGAACATCTGTGAGAAAAAGTCTGCGAATGAGAAGGAGAACACCAGCAAACCCCACTGCAACGCTGCATGTGGCACACGTTACTAACACTAAGATGCACAGGTACACACACACGAAGCCATGCATTTACCTGTAAGTGCAGGTGGTTGTAACTCAAATACATCACACGTCAGGATTCCCTCTATGTGGGGGGCTGTAAAATGTTTTTTCTAGCCATTCCTTTATTCCTCACTCCTTCCCTTTCTCCATTTTCACTGCCGTTCTTTGGTCTATCTATCAATATCTGTCCATGGATTAGTTACCAATTGTCTGTTAAGATGAGCTTTCATCAACTAGCAATAAATTACAACCTCCTCCTCAAAAGACATGCTAAGTATTAATTCCCTCCCTTAACCATCAATTTTAAGACTAAAAATGGTGGCAAATGATCTTCCCCCAAAATACACACATACACACACACACACACACACACACGGGTTTGTGGTTGTTGTTTGCATCATTGTAGACTCATGGGCTTTTTTCCAAATATATCTCAGTTCCGTCTACTCTAAGTACCAAATGTATAATCATTCCAGTACAAGCTGGTTTCAAAATACCACTTCCTGCTAAAAGACACTAGGGGGTCTTTGAAGAAGTGGCTACGCCCAGTTCTAGGGCAGAAAACACAAGGTAAACTCAGGACATTGTGACAAGCAGGACAAATTGAGCATCCAAAGACTAATGACTGAGCTTTATGGATAAGCCCTTTTCTGAATATGTAATTACGCCCCTGATTCAGCTCTGCGGAAGTAGAAGCCCAGCTGGCCGCAGAGGCGCGGATCTGTTGCATCAAGTATGTGAGCCCCGTGGGGTCCAGAGGCTGCTTTCCTTAAGGACTGTTAAGGCCTCGGTGCCTCGAACAGTGCCTGGCACCCAGAGAGCCTCAGAAAGCAGCGCATGAATGCACAAGATCGACTCGAGTCTTTTGCGGAGGTTCCAACCCATCCTTCATTAGCCCAGGGCTTCCACCCTCGCCAATAACATGGGAAACAATTCACAAGTTTCACATCAGAAGAGCTGTTTCTGACTGAGGAGAGAGGGGAGATACAAGGATAAACAATTCATGTGGAGTATGAGAAAGGAATGAAGGGATGTCAGAAAAGCCATTCTGTAAAGGAAGGTCCAGACCCACCCATTTCCTCATGAGAATTACTGCCAGAGAAGGGAGCAAACAGACTCGAGTGTAGAGTCCCCTTCCTAGGGATTGTAACGTTTCTATCATTCGTATTATTTCTGCAGATAGCACATGACCGCAGACAAAGGAGTCTGTGAGGTTGAGTACACCACACGTGTGGCTGTGCGCACACACGCACGCACACATGCACACACACACACACACACACCCTTTTCATAAACCTCAGCAGGGATATCAGTTCAGGAGTCTGGTTGTTCATCCTAAAATCAGCTGCTCCCAGGACTGAAAAGGCAGCCAGCAGCCGGATAGTCACAATGCTCCCTGATAGTCCCCAACACGTAACACTTCTCCTCTCTGGTTGACCTCGCCCCAAGAGATCTTTCTGACTAGACACTAAAGCTTTCTTCTCTCTGCAGGGCAAGGTCGAAGCTGAATTCCACCTCGTGACAGCAGAAGAGGCTGAGAAAAACCCAGTGGGGAAAGCCAGAAAAGAGCCGGAGCCTCTAGCCAAGCCCAAGTGAGTGGGATGACAGACGGAATCGGACAGACTGATGGTCCAAGATCAGAGGGGGTGGGCATTCCTCTCGAAGGAAGGTCTCTCTGGGGAAAACTCCCAAGGGAGGCACCTAATCTATATCACTTTTAGTTTCTCTGATTGCAAGACATTCTAAAAGCATTGCAGAAGGATTTGGCAAATGTTTGAAGAACTTGTCTATAATCCTACTCCATTTAAGCTTTCTTAGAATAATTTTACATAGATTATTTTCTGGTCGTTTCTGATGTGTAAATTTCACTAGAATATTTCTTTATTCCCCAGTGATGCTTATAAAAATACTCTAATGTTATTCAAAGGAGCCCTGGTGGCATAGTGGTTACACATTGGGCTGCTATTCTCAAGGTTGGCAGTTCAAGACCACCAGTTGCTCTGAGTGAGAAAGACAGGGCTTTCTACTCCCATAAGCAGTTACAGTCTCGGAAACTCACAGGGGCAGTTCTACTCTGTCTCGATGACAGTGAGTGAGTTAGTTTGTTTGTATTTTGTAATGTTATTTAAAATTTTACTACTGAGTTTTGCTTTATTGCCATAGTTATTGTAATGAAAATTTTTGATGACGATGTCCCATAATTAGCTTGGTTACCACCCTCTTGCCGTGACTGAACATTTAATCTGCATCATATTTTTCAGTGTGAACATATTTTCCCTTCATAAAATAATTTAAGATAAATTTCCAATAGAATTGTTCCAGGAAAGGGTTACCCTATTTAATTCAATCTGTGTTATATATCATTCAAAAAGTGGACAGGTAGGTGGATAATTATGAAATATGTCTGCAAAATGAGCCGTTCCATTTACCTGTCCTATTCCCTTCCAGAGCCCAATGTCAAGATGAGAGTCTTGCCTCTGTATCTAAGTTGCGTCTGTCATTGGGAACACAATGGGTGCTTAATTATTCATGAATTCATCATTATTCGTGAAGCCCTTGCACTTGAAAAGACATTTTGAAGAACACCGAAAACACATAGGACATAAATTCTGCCTTCCAGGAACTTTTGATCTGCTTAGGGGAAAAAAATATGAGAAAAACTCATAGTTAGGAATGTCTAAAAGACAAATAAGTTAGGTTCCCAAGAGCAGATCAGTCAAGTGATAGGTGAGATAAGAATTCAAAAGGAGAGGAATCTGTCCGTATAAACTGGGTGGTCAAGAAGCGTTAGGGAAAAGCGGTGGGCCTGGAGTTGCTAGGGCTGGGCCCACGGTAGGTGGCCAGACCTCCGGCTGGGTTCTAACTAGGTTCTGGCCCTCTTCCAGACCAACCTTGAAAATGATACAGGAATCGCAGTTGTCCAAAATTGGAGATGGTTCGGCTTCAGGCAGCTTGGGCTTCTTCCATCTCCAAGTGAGGCTCCTGCATGTTGACTTCTCTAACTGGTTTTCTCCGTCTCCTCCTCAGCCGCCCAGATACCTCCTTCTCCTGGTTTGTGAGCCCCTTCAAGTGCCTATATCATCTCATCTGGAAGAATTACAAAAAGTACATCATCATTGGCTTCATTTTGATCATCCTCATCATCTTCTTGGTCCTCTTCATCTATACCTTGCCAGGAGCCATCAGCCGAAGGATTGTTGTGGGGTCATAAAGGGCTGTAGAGGGTTTTGACCCTCCTTTTTACCAAGTCCATCGTTTTCCTGACCTGCAAACACCTGAAAGCATGTACTGTGGGCAGGCAACACACTGGATGCCAAGGAGCTAGATCAAAGGGCCGAGAGCCCGCCCTTACATCCAATGATGGATGCCCTCCCCACCCAATCCCATACCACCTTTCAAACTTGAAAGCTTTTATGTACATGTATCGTATAGCTAGCATAGAATAATTACCACCATCCCTCCTGATAATCAATGGTGACCTCAAGTTGACTTAGGTGAACATTTTCCTTTACGTCATTGGTTTTACCCTGAGAAGTGTAAGTCTCCGATTTTCTTAGGGATACTTTCTGTAGAACAAAGTTTTATAGCAAGTAGACTGAAAACATTTTAGCCAATAACTAGCTGTTAACCCGCCCCACACCTGAATCTTGTTTCATCTTTACCGTTTACAGAATACACCTGTTTTGGCTGTGAACGTGCTTGGAGCAAGCATCAGAGACTCAGAGCGCCCCTTTAGGACAGAGTAGAACTGTCCCCGTGGGTTCCTAAGACTGTAACTCTTTACGGAGTAGTAAGCCTCATCTTTCTCCTGAGGTGATTTTGAACTTCCAGCCTGAGGCTAGCAGTCCAATGCGCAACCCACTTACCACCAGGGCTCCTACACCTTATATGAATCACCTGCAATACCTCAGTGATGAAATTCCCATCCAGAGACCACATACACATCTTTTTTTTTTTAAACTAAATTCAACATTTGTAGCACCTGTTCAAAAGAAGCAATGAATTCTGGAGAAACCCATTTTGATTTAAGTTCTATGGTGACTTTGAAGTGAAAATGTTGCAATATATTATTAATATGATCGTGTGTGTCTCTCTCTCTTTAGCTAGATGTGGAGGCCCCACCAAGTTCAATGTCCCCATAGAGCGTGATATGCAGGGACTGATTACCCAGTGAGCAAGGGAAGCATGTGCTCAGGGTATCAACACAACAAGTTATTCAAAGCCAAGACTCACGGAAGCCAAACAAACAGGAACCAAGGAAGAGCGAGTGCAGCCGTGGAAGGGAACTGGCAGGGCCTGGAGCGAAAGTGACACCAGCTTCAATGTGTGAGAATGTGCTGGCCAGAAATCAAGTTCATGCTAGGTCATGAGGGCACCCACACCCAAGGTTATTTCAGCTATGAGGCTCCTACCTCTTCAACATCTTTGTTGACAAATGCCTCCTATGGTCCCTCCCACGTCATAGAAATCCCCTCTCTCAGTGAGTCTCTTGAGAATATACTGTTTCTTGCTAATAAACAAGAAGTGGAGGTGGGGGTGGGCAGGTGAGTCTAACTCCTGCTATCTTCTCCAGTATGCAACTGAATCTGCTATCCATGGTTACTGGGCAAGGATCAGTCTATGAGAAGACAACAGATCTCTGATCCATTTTGAGAAGACCATCTTGTAGACCCTGGAGCCTTGGTGGCGTAGTGGTTACAAGTTGGGCTGCTAACTGCAAGGTCAGCAGTTTGAAACTACCAGCCAGCTCCACAGGCGAAAGTGGAGGTTTTCTACTCCCATAAAGAGTTATAGTCTCGGAAACCCGCAGAGGCAGTTCTACCCTGTGCTACAGGGTCGCTGTGAGCCAGAATTGGCTCAATGACAGTGAGTTTGGTTTTTTTTGGTTTATCTTGTAGATCCCCATCTGCTGATCCAGCAACTCTAGTCAGGAGGGCCAGCAATGCTCTGCATTGATCCCAACGCCAGGGTGTGCTCTTACACATTGGTAAGCAATGAATGGGAACGCCAGTCCCAGATGATCCACGAAAGTGCAAGAATTTGAATAAGTTGACCATTAGAATGAATCCAGTCAAGCTACTGTTGAATTATGTAGCACTTATGTGCAGTTAGGTCCTATGTTGTGTAAACAATATTTATAACATTAAAATATGCTCAACATTCACACTGATGCACTCTATCATTTGATATATCACTAGCATAGCAAACATCAAAGCAATACCAGAAATATTCATGTTATTTCTAATTATCTGACATGAGAAGTTTTAATTTATGTATCAACGACTTTCACTTTTTTTTTTCTGATATAGGGGGGCCCAATATTTGATATTTTACATATGCTAATAAATGAAGTATTAAGCACATTAAGAGGTCACAAAATTCAATATTTATCATACAAAATATGTTTCTGTTTTGCAACATAAGTGTGTATCTAAATTCAGCTTTAAGAAAACTACGAAGCACATTTATCAGAAAAGTACATTTATATTTAATCAGACTATTTGTGTATCTCCATGTAGGAAAATTGAACAATTGAACAAGTATACAATAATGAATATTTAGAGAATAAAATTCTATAAATATATTTCATTTCCCATTTCCCTTCAGACTGATTTTTCTTTCAAAAAGATTGGTATTGTTATGACTTGCAAAACAAACCTGCCTTTCTATCACTAAATTATGTGTCTGTATCTGAGTATAGATTTGAACAATTCCATAAAAAATAAACTGTACACTTGGCCATTTTTGTAAGTGATAATTATATTTTCCTTTTCATTTCTGATGAATTGAATGTCAACTCATATTTGCCTCTCTTCTATTGGCCATGTAAAAATGTCCCAGCAGTCCTGGCTCACACTGCCCAGGATGTATCCAGTCTTGTCCTGTGCAAAGCAAGCCAGACCCTATCTTTGGATTGAGCCTGCCCTTGTTCATGCCCTTTATGAGTGCCTTCTCCCTGGGGCATCAGCGGAGCTCCAATAAACTGTTCTCAGACGCAACATCAAAAGACAGAAAGTGAGTGTACAGGCACTATTATTTAAGCAATATTCAAGATTAAAAAACATGCATGGAGAGCTACCAAAGACCCACCAATAAACATCATGTGACAAACCATGAGTGAGATTATTTCCAACTGCCTTGTAAGTACAGTCAGCCCCGTGGGTCCTGAATCCACAGAGTCAACCAAGCACATAGTGAAGAGATTCGAGGCATGGGGGTGGGGGGCATTTACATTGTATTGGGCGTTACAAATAATCGAGAGATTGTGTTAGATCTCTCAGGGTAGATATATACTTCGGTCCTTGGCTCCGCGGGAGAAAGAATTCATGCCGAAGCCTGGTTTGTGATCCAAGTGGGTTTTATGAGAGTCAGAAGAAGTTTCAGGCTTACACAGGCACTCGCAGGGCTCCTCACTCCCTGCAGCCACCCCAGAAACTGCTCAGAAAGTCACGTGGTCGGCTCTGGGCTCCTGCCTTTTCAATTATTCAGGGAGAGGCGTGGTAGACGACCCTGGTCGACCCCATTGGCTGAATTGAATTCACCTGGCCTAGGTGGGCCAATCCAGGTGCAGTACCCACCCAGGTGAACCACTCCTTCCAGGCCAGAAAACTTGAGTTTCTGAGCAGCCTTCATGGGCTGGTAGCTCGTACCTCTGAGCATGCGTAATGGATGCCCCAGTCCCTAACAATTGTTTCAAGTACACAGGAGGATGGGTGTAGGTTACATGCAAATAATATGACATTTTTACTTAGGGTCTTGAGCATCTGCAGTTTGGTATCCACAGGGGGCCAAGATTTACAGCCTCAGAAACCCTGTGCAAGGTAGCTATGGGTTAAAATGGACTTGATGGCAGTGGGTCTTTTTTGTTTATTTTTTTTTAAGTGGAGGGCAAATATAAAAGCCCACAGAAGGTATAAAGAAAAGGATTTGTGGACCCCGAAAAAGAATTCCACTTTTTAATAAAAATATTAACTTCCTTTCTAAAACAATGAATCAGAAGAGACGTCTGAGGTTGAATGGTTGGGTTTAATGAGTTTGAATTGTGCTAGAACTGCTAGAGGTGAAATTACTTATAGCAATGAAAACATAATAGCCTTTTTTCCGTAGTCTGTATCCATTCCTTGCTGTAGTGAGAAAGTGAATAATGGTACAGAGACGCTCTAAAATCTGATATTGTCACATCTGTAGACCACATAAATCACAAAAGCAGATCCTGTTGGGTTAGTTTTCTTCTAACGATGTAAACTATTGGATCAAAAGCGAGCCAAGAGATGGCTAGCATCACCATTTAAAATTTGATGTTGAAAATTTACAGAAGATAAACAAATAAGGTTCTGTAGCCAGAAGCTATATCTAGGGTACAAAGCTCATGGTGGAAAATGAAAAAGGGAATGATGTCTGCATTCTTCATCAGTCAGCTCTGTGTATTGTTTTGATTGCAAACTACTGTCGTCGTCATTGTTGTTGTTGTCATTGTTAGGTGTCCCAAATTGGTTCCAACTCTCAGGGATCCTGTAACTGTTAGATCTCTCAGGGAAGAGATATACCTCGCTCCCTGGCTCCATGGGAGAAAGAATTCACGCCAAAGCCTGGTTTGTGATCCAAGTGAGTTTCACGAGAGTCAGAAGAAGTTTCAGGCTTACACAGGCACCGGCAGGGCTCCTCACTCCCTGCAGCCGCCCTAGAAGCTGCTCAGAAAGTCACTTGGTCGGCTCCGGGCTCCTACCTTTTCAATTATTCTGAGGGGAGGTGTGGTGGACGACCCTGGTTGACCCCATTGGCTGAATTGAATTCACCTGGCCTAGGTGGGCCAATCCAGGTGCAGCACTCACCTAGGTGGACCTCCCCTTCCTGGCCGGCAACCTGAGCATGTGCAGTGTACCACTCCTTCATGGGCCGGTAGCTCAGACCTCTGGGCATGCGTAATGGATGCCCCAGGCCCTAAGCTAGACTACCTAACATAGCAACAGAACAAAACCCTTCCCCGGGCCCTTTGCCAGCCTCACAATTGTTCCTCTTGTGAAGCCCATTGTTCCAGCTACCATGTCAAACTGAGTCTCACCATCCTTACTTTGAAGGAGCATTCTGGCTGTACTTTCTCCAAGATCAATGTTTGCAAACTATCCTGTCATAAATCATTTCATTCTCGACACGCTACAGCTGGATTTAGTGATTGAGGAAACGTGAATATGATTTATGAGCATGTAATTGTTGTCCTGTTGTGTCTGGCTAATTTCACTCAGAATGATGACCTCCAGGTCCATCCTTGCCATGAGGTGCTTCATGCT